AGAGAGAGAGAGAGAGGAGAGAGAGAGAGAGAGAGAGAGAGAGGAGGAGAGAGAGAGAAGAGAGAGAGAGCGAGGAACTAAGGTACGTATTGTTGATTAATAATTATATATCACGATATAATGTTTTCAGTTCATCACACAACGCTACTAGAGTAAGCACCTAATCTGTATAACAGTACTTGATGCCTCTTTTACGGTTAAATAAAATTTTCCAGTCTATTTTTAATTTCGTGTTCTTTCAACAAGGCAGACAAGCACAATGAGAGGGCATAGACCGGGAGTCGACACGTATGAAAATACGTCCTGCTGGTAAATACATAGTGAGCTATGGAAAACGAATGCGAGGGGTACCTTATCAAGATCTGTTTCGTGCGCAGGTCATATCAGGAATGTTGTGATATTGGTATTAAAGATCTATTTAAAGGTGTAGTTTCATGTTTAATTCTTAGATATAATACATATACTTACCTTACTGTGTTTGGTATGAATCATCGTAAGGGTTCACTTCACATTATTATTTCATATCTTTTTTTCTGGCAGGTTTGTTACCTAGATTTATGATTGCCAGGAGGAATCTAATTTGTAGTTGTTGTGGTGGTACAATATTGAATATGTCCCGATTTATCCTGAGCATTAGGCTGGAACTTGCGATCAGTTTTGCCTTTAAGAAAACGTTTGAGTGAAGAAACGCTGTCAACAATGATCATACCAATATGCACTATTTATAGTTAATTACTAATATGACCTTCTGTTACTGCCCTTTTTACTCGATTATGCCGGCTGGCAAAACAACATATATATTTCTATTCTGGAAAGTCGGATTCACAAACTCACTTTTCATGATGAAATCACTGGTAACTATAAGCTACTATGGTAAAACAGACAGAGGTATTCATTAAGTACTATCATAGTAAAATTTTACAGTAGTCTGAGCATTGGCAAGTCCGCTGTTATTGGGTATCATTGAAATGTAGGCAGTGGTAACCGGGCTTAAATGTATATATAATTGCACTCCATAAGCAACGGACAAAAAACAAAAAGCTAAAGAATAAAAAAAATTGTCATATTCAAGATATGACAGCGAAGGGATTGTAATGATAATGGTGAGGTCAGTAATGACTATGATGATTGTAAACACACACACACACACATCACATGCACACACACACATGTATATGTGTATACATACATATAAATAATATATATGGAATATATATATATATATATATTATAATATATATAATACTATATATATATGTGTTGTGTGTGTGTGTGTGTGTGACTGTGTGTGTGTGTGTGTTGTTTGTGTGTGTGTGTATGTGTGTGTGTGTGTGTTAATATATATGCCATATGTGTATTATATATTCATTATATATTGCATATATGCAAATATATATATTTATGTATATAGATTAAATATATAATAGATAGATTAACTAGATGTAGATAGATAGGATATAGATATCCATTATAATATGCATATATTACATACAATAACATAACATATACTATATATATATATATTATATATATATTTTTTTTTTTATTTTATTTTATATATATATGTATATATATATATTATATATATA